TAGGCTTCGTAAATTTTACGATTTGGCAGTGTTGATTATTTATATTGTTCCTATTAGTCAATCGTCAATCGAACAAGAAGCAGGAATAGGGGCGTGACGTTACCATCCTACCAAATTCAATTTTTAATAATTAATTACGGAAAAACTACGGTACTCAGAGGGTTGAAACAAAGTGCACTGTTTTTCAATTTAAAATTCCTATCAAGTGAACTATAAACTAAAAAACATGAAACAAGCCCATTAGCAACCGAATTCCATTCTAAAATGAAACATTACGGAAGTGCAGAAGGGCCACATATTTTTATTATTTGTTTCTTGGAAATTACGACTTTGAATCTCGAAATTTCGAGATTATAGTCGAAATTTCGCTCCGGGGCACCAATAGGTGGTTCCACTTATATTTCGCTTGCGTTTACGCAGCTATTTTTATCAAGTACTTTCTTGGTTTTTCTCATTTTGTCTTCAATCGAGGACCGCCTGCCCGGTAAATATTATTCAATCGTCCTTAGACCTGCTTCATTCAATTCTCCATCTCCCTTCAATTCTTTTCATTTCTGTGCTTATTCTCTTTTTCTGCACCTGCCAACATATTTCGTTTAATTTTTTTCCTGTTCTTTTATTCTCATTTCTGTCTTTGATCTACTTTTTCCTATTTTCTTGGGTTTCCATTTCCTTTTTTCTCATTTCACTATCTTATTGTATTTCTTCTTCTCATTTCATTAATTTTCATTACTTTTTATTTGTTGAGATACATTTTTAGATTTCCTGAATGTGCCTTTTACTTTCCTTTTTATCGAGCCCCATAATTTCAATATATTTAATTTTGATAATTTTCATTTCTTTCTTTTGAAATATCGTACAATCCATCTCGATTATGTACGCTACTGGTAACTATTAAGGTAATGCAGATCTATGTTCCCCAAGTGTCCCGAATCAAGAAAAGATTGCAAATCTGATAGAATGTTCTCATTAGGTGATAGGTTTTGAGACTTTTGGTGTTTCTAAAGTTTTAGTAGACTTATTTATTGTCAAGAAGTGAATGTTAACATTTTGAACATGCATAACTTTTGTTTTCATACTTTTATCAAGAATTTCATTTCTTAATGATCTAGATCCATTTATTACTATCCAGTACATCCAGACTGTTCACAGAACAGACAAGAATGGCAGTTTTTCTAATACTTTCGCAAATTGAACAAAAATAAAAGATGAGAAATGATTTATGATGAATATCACTTTTCTAGCACAAGAAACCTATTATCAGGTTCAAGATATAATTTACAACCTAATTTTGAACGGCGTTTTTTTAGATTAGAGGGGACTTTTGCCGGTCTGTTCTGGGTCCATTGTTATTCTTGACTTTTATCAATGACTTGCCTGAATTCATATCAGATTGTCACATAACTATGTACGCTAACAATACTACAATCACTGTTTCTGGAAAAAATGAGAATGAATTATCGATGAAAATTAATTTAGTTATTGACGAATTCAGTAGTTGGTGTCAACGTAACAAACTGATTTTAAATAAATCTAAGTCAGTGCTGATGAAAACATTTGTTAGGAGGGATTTCTGTTGTAATTTAGTCACTTTGAATGACATAAAAATATCAAAAGAAGTTGATTTTCTTGGAACTATTTCAGATGAGAATCTCACCTGAGTTTACTGCACAAAAAGTGTGCAGTAAACCCAATTCCATTTATTATTCGATCAAACAGTTAAAACATTGTTCAGATAGGTTTGGTTTACTACTTTGCGAATGGATGTGCAAAGGGATTTTCTAGAGTTTTTATCTCTCAAAAACGACTGATGAGACTGATATTCAACCTGGGGTACCAAGAAAGTTGTAGACCCGTTTTCAAAAGAGAACGCTTGTTGACTGCACCCGCAATTTATATTATTTTGTGCACAGGAACCTTGACTTGTACATAACAAACTTGAGCATTCACGGTCGTGATACTCGCCATGCTACTGTTCTGAGGGTCCCTTCACATACGGTGAAGAGTGATCATTTCAAAAAATCTCCATTATATAATGCCATAAATTTCTATAACAGACTGACACTTTCTATAAAGAGGTTGAATTCTGCAAATTTGTTCTGTAAGAAAGTTAAAAACGTATTACTGGACAAATGTTACTAGTCATAAGGAATATTTAGAGGATTCTTTCACAGAAGAATGGTAAGATATATAATCGTTCTAATTTTTCACTTGCTGTTTTGCTTTAGTTTCAGTGTTCTGACTGGCGATTTTATCGTTTTTTCTTATATATGTGTGTATATGTTTGTAAATAAATATATACATATGTATATTTATTTGACTACGGCAAGCAAAATTGCCACATTATTTATTTATTTTTTAACTAGCATTTTATATATCTATATGTACCTATACCTTTGTATATGCAAATAATAATTTTTATTTAAGCTTTGATTCCATAATTTCATTCATAAGTGACGTACTGTTCTTTGTAATTAATGATTGACCTACCATATATACGCTATGTATCACAAATGGTGAATAATAATTATTATTGTTTTTTTTCCCTTTAAACAGCTATCACACCCCTATGAATGATAACCCTCAGAAGTCAAAACTTGTGCGAGCTAAGGACAAACAAGGTTTTACCTTTTAACGTGTGATTTCTAACACGGATTGGACGATAGCAAGTGAAAATCAAGCGTTCAGCCTGCGGCTTGAACCATCAACTAACACATCGGCCGATTGACTGAGTGAACAAAGCACCCACGTCGAACCGCCCGGCTACCGACCAACCAGCTATAATAAATGAATTGAACAGCAAATATTTGAATATTAATGCTTTCTTATACCAAAATCGATATTTTCCGAGAGTTTGACGTTTCATTTATATACCACCATATGGTCCAATCTGTAGTATTTTATATGTTGGAGAAATTATAATTACTCTGACTTGTTTATTGAAAGAATAGGTTACGAGAGATGAAATCAAACAAATAGTTTATGAAAAATGGCACATAGTATATTATGTACGTATTGTATATTACATATAGTTGATAATAATTTTTATTTTTATGTCATACTCTAGCTGTTTAAACCTAACTTAATTTTTCCTCATCACTCAATATTCTTTCTGTCATATATACTTTTTATATACTTAAAAACACATTCGCTTTAAAACGTTTATACAGGTTTAAATTTAAGCTTTACAAATTTTTCCTAATCACGTAGTAACCACAACTGATCTTAAAAGTTACACATTGTCCAATAACTACAAAAATATATAATATAAAATGCTCGCAACACTTTTACAGAATTCGTAGGCAACAATTCTGTAACTTTTAAGAAAAGTCTCAAAAGAATATGTTTTTACCAAGATTGGTGTGAAAATTATGGCTGCCAACTTAATTTACAGAAAAAAATAAATAGAATTTAGTGCCGAAAACTTTCAGTGCTTTTGTCGCTGCCGATTTTTCAAAATTATGGCTGCCATTTCATTGGAATGAAATAAACACAGGGCATTACAAAAAATATACTATGCTGAATTTTACTGCAAGTAAAAAAAATATAATACCTATTTAATTACCTTAACTTGGTAGGGGTTCCAACTAAACGACATGTTTTTAAAGAACATCTGAAAGAATATCTAGTTATTGTCATTTCTTCAAAATACATTGAAATTGTTTCTAATTACACAAATCTCTTGATAACTTCTTCACTAGACCTCAAACATTTTAAAACAAGTTCAATTTCTCTCTATCATTAGACTATTCCAATGTACTTTAAAATTTAAAAATTTGATAAGGAACAATTAGATATATGGAAAATTAATGGATCAACAAGAAAATTTGTTACAGAGCTTTACATCAATTTTCCAGACATCGATTCATATAAGGGAGGATTTTATAGAAAACACTGTCGTCAAATTAGAAAAAATTACCATTCTTTGTACACGATTTTAGTTAAAGTAATTAAAACAATCTTAACAATCAAAACAAATAATATAAATATAATTCACTAAGAATTCTAAACTTGAGAAAATATTACATGTTTACCTTCAAAAAAATCTACTTAGAAAAAGGTTACACTTAAAATAAAAGATTTAAATTTAAAATTACTTAAAAATCATATGAATGTCATCAATTATGTTAAATTGATGCAGTAAGCTTTTCAAAAACCTTGCAAGTGTAGCAAACATAAAAAAATTGGAGAGCTTTTCAATGGACATATATAAATAACTTAGAAGAATAATGAAAAAGAAGTATCATTTTCATTGGCATTCTTAGGAAAGACGGGTGGCTTTAAAAAAAAAGACATAGAAGGTCCATGAATTTTTTTGTACAGAATCAACAATCTTAAGCATGAATCATAAACATTTTCAAAGAAGTAGGTTTTGCATGAACATAAAAAAGAAAACATCAGTACTTGGAGTTGAATGACTCTGAGATATGGTTTTCCAACTGAACATAAACACAATTGAACATATTCCAAATCAATTCAATTTTTGAATCACAAGTAGACCTGTAAAGTATGGTTAAGTAATGAAAATCAATAACTCTGGAACCCTGTTGAAATCAATGCTCTTCATAAATATAAAGACATTCACATGCAAGTAGATTCATGTCAACACCTAAATCAATTTAAAGTGTCTAGTTTCATAGTGAAAGAAGATTTAGTAAATAAATAAAAACATTCAAGGACGTTCTGATTTGCCCAAAAACACTTGTCAAAAAATATATTTACAAATATAAGTAACTTTTTTATGAATTCGAATCGAATACTGGCGCAAAGGATCAATATTTTATATGTGGCTTGAGAAATATAAGTAACAATGAACTATTAGGAATTTGATTTCGAAAACAATGAGGCAAACGTGAGAACACAAATTATCAATTTTACTCACTTAGAGTGATTCGATTTGAGCAACAATTTTATCAAATTGATATATTTTCTGTACATGAGAAAATAAAAATAATGCTTTTGTAACCCGACATTGCTCTCATAATGATGGCACAAATTTGTTCATTCTAAAATATATATTAAGTACAAACTTTATAATACAACAAAAAAAAAGTTGAAAGTACTTGAATTCAGTCTGATTTTTATTCTCCAGGATACCAAACACCATGAAAAAGTATTGCTTCTCAACATCCGAAAATTCCAGCGATAAGAACATGTGAAATGAAGTTAAAAGTTTACTATGAATATGAAATAATAAATATCTTCTTTTTCTTTCTCTTCTGTTTTACAGTAACCACAAATGAAAATTTTGAGAAAACTGAGATGGAAAAATGTATGCCCTTTCAATTCTTTGTATACCTTTTGAATGTTTATAATACAAGTGATATCATTATTATATTCGACTTTACCCAAAATCACTTCATTTTTCGTTGCAACTTAGGTACTCCATGCTGAATATCCTTAAAAAATGGCAGAAGTAGAGATCAATAGTATAATACAAAAATAAGAAATATGAGCTAAATAAGCTTGCTAACATTACTAGAGTATTATGTAAGATTTGGCACAATTGGATTATTTTTTCCTCTCAAACCACATATAAATGATGTCATTCAATATCAAGGTCTAGCTGAAAGCATGAAAAAATTATTGGTCAACATTTCTGTTACCGTTTGAGACATTCTGTGATCATTTCAGTAATGTTTTTGAATGAGATTACATACCAATCTCTGTATGATTTCCAATTTTTATTATTATTCAATTCAGTGACTGCAGAAAAATGATTTTCTCTTTTATCAAACTCGGATAACCTCGAATATTATTGGAGTTCAATCCCAACACCAAACTCCAGTAATATTCGTTATTACGCCAAAGGCTCCAAACAGTGCCTCACAACTCGGATAACCTCATTCAATAATTCAACTTGTAACCAACTACAAAAAGAAAACAAAAAATTAAATTCAATTGAACAGTTTTTTCCAAAACAGAAATTTGAATTCGAGATTTTTCACAGCTTACGGTATTGTCCTGTATAAATTAAGTGTATATAAAATAGTGTCAGTGTTAAGAGTAACAAAATTCAGTGTTACTATCTTCATTCATTCTCAGCTGCGAAGCCGAGATGAATTCAATTATATCTTCCATTATTTTTTAAATTCAAGTCTTCAGAATCATCAATAGTTCTGAAATATGGAATTAAAATATGTATTGTATTTTCCAGTCTGCAGAAAAAAATACTATTCAAAAGAAAAATTGTCAAGTTATAAAAACTCCCAATTATTTTCATTTTGAAATAGTGCCATAAAATACATTCACTTTTACTTCAAGTTTCAATTCACCGAAAAACATTACTAAAAGGAACCCAACTGCCATTGTAATCTCTTCAGCTACCTCAAATCTAATAATAAATAAAGCTGTCATGTCTAAACAGTTCCGCAAATAAAATTAAGTGAAAAAAATGTTGTAAATAGACAAGAATAAGAAGTAAGAATACAGTTACTGTATCACTACATAATATTCTTAAAAAAATAGATAATTGTTGATGTATGATGAATATGATGATGCCGCTTTGTACGAAAGTGTATGTACAGGTAGCAAGAAATACTATCAATGCTATTGTGGCTGACCTGGATTGTGAGGCAAATTGGTGGGTACACCCTGAAAAAAAATATAGAAAAATTAAATAACTCCAAATTTTTCAAAGTACACTATAACGGAATAATTTTCCAATATCAAATTTAGTTTTAAAAATTATACCAATACAGTTGCCTTATTTGGTGTTTGAAATTCTTGAGCTTGAAATTGGAGAGTCATTATCCAACTGCCAAATGAAAACTTAAAAGAAACGAGTATAATACCTATTTTTCATAAATCTTACTTGACTTAGTGTTTTAGTCTATTGCTATATGGGTTCCGCCTGTCTTGACATCTCATACATAGTCAAAAACAAAACCGTACGGAAATTCCACGTGAGACAGAACCAAGAAATGAATATTTCAATTAAGTATAGCCAATAATTTGATAATTGATAGTGTAATGAGTATTCAAGACATTACTTTGGTGAATGAATTGTATTATAAAAAAGCTTCATGATATTTAGATTGTTAATTTGTGCTAATACAAGTTTTTCAATAATATATTGAACCCAATTGCAAAATTGATTTAAATAAATTGGGTTAATTCAAAATTTATAAAATTTAAATAGTTTTACTTCAAGAGAGCCCGTTATTTTTAATGTAGATCATTACATTCATGATTATAATTTACATAAATGTGAGTTTTTGAACTTTTAATCAGCCATATTCATTGAACAGTAGGTGAATGGTTCTTATCCTATACACATAATGAAGAAATCTCATAAGAGATCTGACCAGAAAAATTAGTGGGGAATAATTGTCGATAGATACATACCCCTTGACATCAAAAATTGAAAGAAAAAGTTAGTAGTATGTGTAAGGAAATCCAAAAATCTTTGAAAGACAAATTGAAAAGCGATACATTATTTTACGCTCTGCATGTCATTAAAAAAACCTTTATTAAGATATATATTATACATACCGGCAAAGAGGGGTAATGAGGAGCAGAGAGCATGTGATGTGGTCCGGGTCCTAATTTAGGTCCATCTTCCGCTTTTTCTTCTTCTCGTCTCTTCAAGCAAGCAGCTTTAGGGTTGAGATTCCTCTCTAAAAATATATTTGAAACAAATATATTGAGATCTCATATTGTCAGTACAGTCAAATCTTACCTCTTACTTGCTGTTCCAAAGTCATTATGACTTCAACAGCCATATTTAAAATTCCCAGTTTGGTTTGAGGTTTGTCTGTCTTAAGGTGTGCCATACACATCCTTCCCAGTTCTTTTAGAGCTTCATTAATGTCACGGATACGTATCCTATACAAATTAACAAATTAAATATTTTTGAATTTGAGTCAACTTATCGATTTTCACAATTATATTGTAGCAATAAATTAGATGTTTCTCAATAATGTCATTGTAATTTCACAAATAATTCATCAGATGAATCATATTCATCTCATGACTCAACATCGCTTTGATTTTAACAAAAAAATGGTACATATATAGGCTATGTTAATAACTATAACACGTTAAAAAAATTGTTTAGTATTTCCATATGTAGAGTGTGTATATATACTACAAAAACAGCTCGAATTACTTTTTAAAGCAAAAACAGGAGAGGAAGAAAGCTTCCCCCAAGCAAGTCAGCAAACACGCTGAAACAATAGTTCATTCAAAATGAAGACTTCACACCCTTTCTATATGAGATTCTAAGGATAGCCATCTGCCCCAAGTAGGGAGTTGAACTAAGAAGGCTAAAAATTTATGCCTCTTTCTGATTTTTCATATTATTTTCTACAAGGAATATGTCAATGGTAGTAAGTTTTTAAATTGACATTCTGTATAAAGGTTACTTTACATCGTTTAAAATGAAGTAGCGGAGAATTTTTTTATCTGAAAATGAGAGAATTATTTCTTAAGTTGAAATTGCTAAAAAAAGTACTTCTGGGAATTTGATATACTAAATATTTTAAATATATATTTGTTCTTTTAAAAAAATAGCCTCTATTCAATTATCTTATAAAATTCACTCTAATCATGTTCCTGGAAAGGATGAAGTTGTACTACTCTGTATGTAATAGAGGTGAATTCTCTCCAATATGCGTTATTTTGAGTTTCTTTAGATTCTTGACTATGTGAATCCATTAATGATACAATATTATCAATTCCATCAAGAATAAAATTTTGGAAAAATTCAAAAAGTGAAGCAATATTCTACTACATTTCTTTCCAGTGATAACCAAATTACATTATTGCTACAATGCCTGCTTTACTAATTAGAACTGAAAGATGGACTTCAATTATGAGAATGATAAGAAGATGGTTTCTCGTTATCAAGAAAACACTCCAACCTGACATTCCGGTGAAGAAATGATTTCAATGAAATTTTAATAATGTATTTACCTACAACCAAAGTTTAAGCTAACAAAACGCCAAAGATTCTAGCTAACTAAAATCAGAAATTTGAAGTGTTTTCTGGTTCAGCCAGTTCGAAAGAGAAAATTGTTAGTTAATGAAAGTTATGAAAAAAATATTTATTAAATCAACTAATGTCTATTGGCTATAAATTTAAAGTGAAGTTGAAATGGAATTCTGTCATATTGTTCAAAACACTGACTTCTATTTCATAGAATCCCATTATATGCTCGACTTTTCATTTACAGCAAATTGACTTTGCACGTGTACTTGAAGTACACTCTTAAGTATTAACTGTTACGCAACAAATATGATTCCATAATGATAGAAACCTGTTTTTTACCAGTTTCTTCAGTTTTCTCATGAAATTTGTACAGCAAAGTTATTTAAAAAAACAGGCTCTAACATTTTGAAGAAACACATTAAAGAATATAGGCCCCAATGTACGATGTTTAACCTCTAATGAAGCTGTAATGAAAAAGAAAACCCAACCTTTCCCTTGCATTATTTGCCTGCCGCCTTTCTTTTTCCCTCTGAGCTTTGATATCAGGATCTAAATCACCCTCTTCTGTTTCATCAGCACTGGAACAACTGTTACAACATTCGAATGTATTTTAACCCAAAAACAAGTATACTTGCACTGAGCAGATTCAAATCATACCATTATCACTTGAAAAAAGAGTTTCTCTGGTATTACACATTTGTATTCTAAATTATAAGCAGAAGTTTCTCATCAATCAATGAACATTCAAAGAATCAGTAATTAAACTTTTATGATTTGAATCTAATCGAACAGTATTCAAAGAACCGCCTGATTAGAAATTGTAACCCCCTTTTCATTTTTCTCATGAACCTTTTAACTTGTAAAGAGGTATCGTAAGGTGACAGGCCCATATTCAATGTGTCTCTGTAAGTAAATTCATTAAAAACAACATCAAAATCTACAGCATGCTGGCCAAAATTCGAAAAACGAATGTTACACAGAAGAACTCCTTGTAAATTCATGTAATTTTGAGTCCTCTTTGAAATAAATGCTATCAATTTTTTTCTCGTAACATTTGTGATCTGAATATGGGCCTTTATAGGTATTAGGGGTAAAAGGTACTAAGGGATATTTGGAATGGAGTGGATATTGGATTGAAGTTTTTGATAATTCACAAGTGACATAATTGAATATTTTCCTATTTTTGTATTCAAAAATTTGTTACATTTGATGTGATATATGTACCTAAGTGTAGATAGATATTTATTTATAATATACACATACAAGACCCAAAAGCTTGTACACTTCTTATGTATTTTGTATAATATAGTGGTCAAAACATTTTTCAGACCTATTCCAATTTTCTGTATGGAAATATAGTGCGTTCCAAACTAGATACAAATATTTCCACTGAATTTCACTGAATAAAGACAAAACCATATTTTCGATTTAGATTGTTTATTATATATTCAGTATTGTTCTTGAAACTGAATAACCATGGTAAAATTTAGGATCTATAATTTTATCGAGCAGAACTGTGAGAAGACAAAGAGCAGTACAGAAGTACAGAGGTTCAATAAGACAGATCAAAACTGAGAGGGGTATATTTTTAGGAGGAATAGGATTTTGCAAAATAGGGGTTTTGGCTTTCTGCTTCTCTATATTCATAAATTTTCAATAAATGAGTGACTTTTGTGAGATAACTGCTGCACAATTATGGTAACTTTCAAAAACTTTCTCAGCAAAAATAAATAAGTGGATGATTCCAATGGATGCAATAAGTCAAAAAATTTAATGATATTGTTGTGAATCATGCCTTAAAGAAAATAACGCCGGCCGCCACTGGTAGCCATAAACTAATCCTGACGTAGCTAAGAGCACGCAAATGTACGATGCTCCTTGCCGCTCTAGAAGCGACGAAAATAATGCTACCGATTTCGATGGAATTTCAGTGAAATTTCTACTGCATTCGATTATGATATATATAAACGCTAGCCTTGAGCACATCGACAGAGTCAAGTGGAAGATACAGTGCTGTACGCGAAGCAATCTAGTAAGACAATAGACATTCGAATAATAGTTTGAGTGTTCAGTGTAGTCAATTATTTCAACATTTCAAAAACTGAACAGTATAGAAAATAATTAAACTACAAAAACTATTAACGATATCAAGAGATGAAATATGTAATAGAATCGGATGGTACTTGATTAAAATCCATATATATAATAGCTTCTTCAGCTTACGTAAAGATACGCCTGAAGAAGCTATTGTATAGAGTTAGAAGTTTTCCACTATAAACCTCTACAGGGTTCTTTAAAATTTTTGGTCAAAATATGACGTGCACACTTGCAAGTGAGACGGAGAAGAATTGTTCTCTTGAGGAATTGCAGAATATTAGGCAATAAAAAACACAAACTGCCTCTTTCCAAATGTGTCATGATTCCATCTGTCACTTCTTCGGAGCTTAGGTGAAAATTATAGTACAGAGTTCCAAATCTGATATTTATTATGATAATGCATCTGTCATAATGATAAATTGCAATGAGTAGAAATAAACCACGAGACTATACTATAGTCTCTTTTTTTAAGCAGAGCAATAATAAATCATTTTCAAGAGCCTGTTCCATAGGTTGAAAAGTAAAAACTGTAGTATCTGATTTTTTAACATTTGATAATGTTGTACTATTTGATATAACAAGTCACAAAATAATTTTTTATGCTGAGTAACAAAAATATGGTGAGTCACATAAATATTAATATATTTCTTTATTGAATATCAATACTTCCTATGAAAAGTACTTTTTAATGTATCAAATACCTTCACAGCAAGATATTTCCTATTTTCGCTGGAAAAAAAGTATGACGTCATCAGTGGCGTAACTATACCGTTCGAGACCCGTGACAAATTCATCGGATGGGCCCCCTCCCCACAATATAAGAAAGCTGAACCAACAATAATACTAATTTTTCATTTTATAATACTTATTATACACTTTTACTTGTGAGAGTACAATAATAAATCACTGTGTTAAATAGGGACATACAAACTTTATAATTATACTTAGGTACATAATTTTCTAATAATTCCCTTTAAATTAAAAGTACCTAATTTAAAGTACAGTCAGCATCTAATTGATTGAGTAGTCAACATGATTTGAAAAACGAAAAAGCAATTTGATATAGGCAGTCCGAATCATCATATTTTTGTAAGCACACAAAGTGTTCAAAATATAAAATGTTAATCAATAAAACTTCTTCCTTCGGACTTTTTGTTCAGCAAAAGTGGTAATGACATCATCAAAGTTTCAATTTCTGGCCATAGAATTTTCGATGGATAGAATAGCCAAATTGCTTAACCTATCTTGTCCCATAGAATGAATTAGTTTTTATCAATTTCGGTTTCGAAAATGAGTCATAGGAATGGCGAGAAACAATAGAAATGAAGTGCACACTGCAGGAAAGCTTGAAGATATAGAATTATTTATTTATTATTAATAACTCAGCAAGTTCTCTTATAGAACGTGAAGTTTCTATTTCGTGTCTAAAAGAGGATCGAAAACTGAGAATTTCCTTGGAAAACGAGATGGATATATCTTCTTTATATAGATGGATAAATGCTAAAACCATTTCCAATAAATCAGTATCGTTCAAATTTTGCAAAGTGGCAGGTTGCAAGACACTGAAATTGGAAACAATTTCATTCATTCCAAGGAAACGCGATTTCAGTTGATTAATGATTATGTCTAATACACGATAGAATACGTTCACTTCAAACAAGCTTTCAGGTTCTAAGAGACGTTCATCCTCACAAATTCATCTAACGAGTCTTAGGAAATTCAACGTTTCCAATCATCATAGCCTTCCATCCAAATATGTTGTATATTTTTAGATGCCTTATTTGTGAATAACCAACATGGTTCACAAAATGCTTTTTGAGGCAATAGGGAAATAGTACGGCCACGTACGTTCTAACTTCACGCCAGATTTAGTAATATTGCAATAATATATATCCAAGAAAGGTATTTTGTTTCTATCGCTCAAAAAAGAGCCTTTTGGTTCACAGGGTTCGATTTCGATCACAAACCGTTTTACATTGAGTTCTTTGAAGTTACCTTTATCACTAAAGTACGGTAAAGATTCCAACTTTACTATATCCAAAAATGATTCGTTTCAAGATTTGCTCGTTCCGGGTTGTGATTGCTCTGAATCTAAATATTCACTGTTATCGGGCTCTGCGATATTGTCACTTATGACGACATCATTTTCTGCCCTTCCCATGCGCTGTTCATTTGATTCTTCTTCTATACTATCTTGATCCTTAAAGTACTGATGTATTTTAGGTATCTTTTTATTTTGTTCTTCAGACTCCTTCTTTCGCTTACATTTTTCGCTTCCAGTCTGATACTTTCTAGAACAACACCGTGAACAGTTTGTAATAATACTATAGTTTTTATTAAATGAAAAATCTGATTGCTAAGAAATGCCAAAGAAGCGGCCGAAAAAATGTATATAATGAAAGTCCACCTTTTTGTTCAATGCCTAATTCAAGCGTCCAATTTTGTAATTATTGAAATAACGATGAACATAGGTGAATAGTTTCGGTGGTTATATTTTGTCAAAATAGTGATTTGTGCTTTTCAAATAGGTACTACCGATACCTACCGACGATGTAAATGATCATTTTTATAGGTAGATTGAAAATTAAAATGACTGTTATCTTATAAATTATTTTAAATATCAGAATAAAATTCTAACCGAGTAGACATTGTCAACTTATTTTCACAATTGACTAATTAAACATATCCTCATTTGGAACAAACACCCAATTCTTACAACTATAAGCTGCTAACTACTTGAGTGCTTGCGTAACATGTATAATAAATAATAAATGTTTGGAGTTCTCCTCTGACTGGGGGCCCCTTCCGGCTGGGTGCTCGTGGCATTTTGCCGACTTGCCACCCTGTAGTTACGCCACTGGACGTCATGATGCGATACGATCTAACGATGTTTCAAATAGGTACTTTATTAACTGTAGAATATAAATTATTGATAAAACACTTGCGCAGTGTTATTATTAGTAAATTATACTTAGTGTGTGAATTAAAATGGCTACTTCAGTTCACTCTTCAGTAAAATGAATGAGCAAATATGCTTGTTCTGTTAACGAAAATATCATTATTCTTAATGTATATGACGTTCTCATACACCAAAATCCTTGTACCCCGTTGATACTCTGATGGAAATCATTGACATATAAATTCAAAAATTGGAGAAAAAAATTAAACTGTCCAGAAATCACCAAAACAATATAGGAAGAAAAACTGTGCTTGTTGATGTTGATTTCACTTACTTTTCATATAGTATATTGTGTAGAAATATTTCCCAAAAATTAATCACTCCTAAAAATATAACCCTTCAATTTGTATAAAAACAGGGTAATATTGAGTATCTTAAATACGCCTATACCAGCTGTGGCAAATCATAGGAAAATCACAAAATTTTGTTTGAGCTCTTTGTCAGCATTTTGCATTTATAATGAGCATTTATTACTTTTACAACTGGGAAAGAGTACAGAGCAAAGTCTTCCCAACAGTATGACTTCTAGCTTAATTTTATTAATATAATTCTATTCAATTGCCATTCATTACATACGACCCATGCATTGAAAATGCACAAGAAACACCAGACTTGGTACTCTATTCTATAATTCACGCACGAGTTTTGATGAAGTGTTGAAAAAAATCACGAAACACTATCAAAGAAGTAATTTATGTTTTTCTTTGTTCAATATTCAACAGTTCTTTAACGTTATCTATTGGATTTAAACGAATAGAGGAACTGTTGTAGGAAATTTGGGTAACTAGGATTTTGAAGGTGAAAATCAATTTAGTTGAAAGGTTTTTTACATACCGTTCACGGACATTGTTTGCCTGTCTACGCTCTTTCTCGCGTACGGCCTTGTTGCTGGGGTCATCAATTTCATCTTCATCGGCGTTACTTGAACAACTACTTGAACAATTGGTAATGATAGAAAATATCGAAACTATGACAAGGTATATGAACAACATGTCACATATTCAAGGGCACATATAGTTCAGCAAATAAAATTTGAAAAAATTTAAATCGATTTAGTAATTCGAAAATGACTGATTTCAAAGATTCGTAATACTGCCTAGTTCAACAACTTTGCCATAGTTTTTAGGAAAAATACTACAGAGTTGAATAAAAAACAGAACAATTGAACTTACTATCTCCTTGACCGTTTTGTTGCTTTCTGAGGAGGCCCGCTGGTGTTTTGTACTATACTCTCTACGGAACTTGATGGTTTTGAATCACTGTCTGGAGGTTCCTTGCGCTTTTCTTTAAAAGAAAAAAACATTTACAAAGTTTAGAATATATGCATCTTCTAATCTATGCATGATAAATGCAAAAATATTTTTTTAATGGTTTTGAAGTATCCATACATAATATAGATATGGGTACCTATAAAAACCTATGCAAATAGGTATATAATTTTTTTTGACACTTTTCCAAATTCTCATTCCATTAAGAAAATATGTTGAACAAATTTGAAGTGTNACATGTAGATTCAAATAGGGACATATTTTTGTAAATGAGGCAAACCGTTTCCAAAATAAACAAAGCAATCACTGTTAAAATCTTTTGTTCAGCGAATTTGTGTCTGCATGAATCACGAGGTTTAATTTTACACATATACCTGATAGCCCGTTTCTGCAGTACTAATACAGACAGAAGTGCTGATGAATTGCATAATCCCCAAAACGGTATTCCATAACGTAGGTGGGATTCAACGAGGGCGTAATACACCGTTCTGGCAGTTTTGATAACCAAATTTATTGAAGTTACTCTCACTGCATAACATCCAGAACAAATTTTACTTTTAAGTTATTTAATATGCTCAATAAATTTGAGCTTGTTGTCAATGTGAATACCTAGAAATTTAGATTGAGTCTCGTTCCTGATGACTAAGTTATCACCGAATAACAGGTCATCATAAATAGGTCATGATAAATAGGTCATCATAAATAGGTAAATAGGTCATGATAAAATGTTTGTTTTAGTGATATTGAAGGATAGCAAATTAGCATCACACCCCTCCTTAATTGTTTTCATATCAATAGATATTGCATTGTGTAAATCATTTGAGTTTTTGTTGTTCCACAATATCGTCGTATCAGCGAAAAGAGTGAAATTTACAGAAATGATCAAATTTGCAATGTCATTGACATATAATAAGAATAAGATGGGTCCCAAAACAGATCCTTGTGGAACACCACACAAAATTTCCCCCCCTTTTTTTCCTGAAAGTCATGCTGTTCTTGCCATTTGATTCCTTCCTGAAAGGTAGGATTCAAACCACTTGAGCGTCGATTCTCTGAAGCCGTATTGGTGAATTTTTCTTAGCAAGATCTTATGATTAACGCAATCAAACGCCTTAGAAAGATCACAAAAGACCGCAGCTGCTACACTACCTGANAAGTCAATTCACCAAGAGCCAAATTCCTCCATGATTAGAACAGTTTCTGGAGTATTTAGATATTACAGTGTAGTCAGGAATGCTTATTGGTCCGAGCTTATTACACCAATGTTCCGTAAGCAAGACTATTGTAGGAAAATCAAGTCACTTAAAAATATAAAAAGTTCATTTAATTTGTTCCGAAGGGACTGAATGTTTAGTGAGAAAGACTAAAGTAATAGAGTTAAAATTAGAGAAATGATAACAATTGTTATGTTCTTCAAATGATCTTTTTGGATCATAAGAACTCTTAGAACATAGTTTTCTTTCATCATCTAAGCTTTTTTTAGTGTCTTCATGGAGGGGTCTAAAAAACCTTGAATGGTTTCATTCGTGATGGTGGGGAATTTCAAATTTTTCGTTTGTTTATTTCTGAATATGAGATCTGAATTTTTTTTTGACAATTTCCTGTTTACTTTGCATCGTGCCTTTCGTACAATTCAAATAAAAAAAAAGAGATATCACCTTCGGCATAATGATTCAATTTGTATGTATATTCATTGAGCTTGACATTAAATTTGTAAATGAAATCATTTAATTTAACTTATAGTAGTAGTTTCTATGAAATGAAATTGTTTTTTTCTAATCAACAGAAATATTTTTATTCATTTTTGTTTGTCACAGATAAATGAACATACGTGGGCTGTTAAAAAAAGGTAAATGTTCAAATTTTGCAGGCTGCGTGCATTAGATCAGCGTTTTTTTTTATGTTGGTACATTCTTCTTAAACATATGTCCACAGTTTCAGCTGTTTAGCATGTTCACTTTGTTGTTGATAGGCATAAAAGTTATTATAAGAGTTCTGCATGTATTTGACTGTCAAATGCCAACCACTCATATAGGACTTTGACTATGTCAGTATGTTACGTGGAAACCCAATCCTCTCTAACTTTATATATAGAAAATTTGGTGGTCAAATGCCATTGTCAGATCAAAAAATATACTTATTACATTGTTATCAACTTCGGAGTATATGTTATTGAGATAATCACAGGCTGCTATTTCTATGGAACAATCTTTCCTAAATCCATGTTGACTATTACATAGTAAATTATTTGACTCTAAGTAATTCACTATTCTATACTCTGTTCATCTAAGCTAACGAGTGCTCCAAAACATTATCATGTCACACTAAGCAACGACCATTTTTTTTTTAATAATATGCGGCTGGGTATACAATATTTTTTTTTAGGTGGTAGCAGCCGTATCAATACTTGACATACAAATTTCAAACTATAAAATACACACCACAGGCATTAAAAAGTAACTGACCACTCTGACACAGTAACAATAAATTCAGCCAGCCGATTGCGGTTAACTCTGATTGGCCACCGTAAGGAGGCTTGTTTATTTTACCCAATAGATGCGAATGTGCATGATGATCATGCTCTGATCAAGCATCTATCTTTGTTTGGGTTACTTTGTTGGATGGATAAAGTTTAGTAGCCACTACTTTTTCATACAGTTCTGAAAGTGAACAAAGTAATGAAATTTGTCGGTAGTTATTCAGGTCATTTCTATTTCATCTTCTAAAAAAGGAATAACTAAGGCTTTCTTGAACTGTTTTGGAAATTATCCTAGCATTTAAGATTGATTCATTATATAAATTAAGAGAATAACAATAATGTCAAATATATGTTTAACAACTGGTAATAATAGGTCATCTGATTCCACTCGCATTTTTATTTTTCATTAACTTCAATGCAGCATGAATTTCAGCTTCAGTGATCGGTTCGTTCTCAAATGATTGTACAATAATATTATTTGTACTGGTTTTACAAGGTAATGTTGAATTTTGACCTAAGTGTGTCGGAATAGCACCTTTAGCAAAATTTGCAAAATGATGGGCAAATAGGTGGGTCTGCAATAGCGGAAGGGTGTTCAACCACAATCTTTAAATTGAAAAAATCATCTAATTCAAGTCTTGAATTCATATTGCAATTCAAATTATTTGATTCGAATATTTCAACCCCGTCAATGGTTTCTCTTCTTCTAATAACCCTTGCAACTTACTTGTGTTGTATATAGGTCGTTCAACTTTGATTGTATCTGGCAGGTGTGGGTCTGCTGGGGATGGTGCGGGATACCCAAGTTGTGACATCTGGTGTGCAAGACTGTTTGGAAGCTGTCCTACTAGACCTAATGGTTCTGCATGGTTCCTCAAGACATTTATAGCATCGTCCAGTCTTTCTTCCATACGAGTACCCTGTAAAGAAATAATAAAACTCGGTAATGAAAGTAGAATGTTTTGTTTACCTACAGACCAACTGAGATGATCTTCAATATGAGCATGAAGATGTCTTTCAACCGACTTCAGCAAATCATAAAGTTGACTATTATTTTTAGAATCAATATTTATATGTAAGTATCTCAGTTTCATTCAGAAAAAAAAGCTAATGAAAAGTCAATTAAGTGATACCTAATCTAATCCGATTGAAGCTGTAATATATGAAATATATGTTTTTTTTCATTTTTTACACTAGCGGTTAGAGTAAACAATTATTTTGCATGATCAGTTATTTTTCATGTTCTACATTATCGATAATCCTAAAGTCAATGAGAAATTGGTAAAGTAAGTCATTAATTCCAAATTAATTAGGAGTATAAAACTTTGAGGCGGTATTTTTAATGAAACCAAGCTAAAACCAAATACATTGTTATGGAAACTGAGAAAACACAATTTTTTACAAATTTGATGAAAATTCAACGGCTCCGTAGAATTATTGACGAGACCAAATAAATACTTCAATGTTGTTACTTGTTTCAATAATATACAATGTGGTGGTCCATAAAGTTTGCTATGAATGGATTTATTATTAGGTTAGATCCAAAAATATTGTCCGTTTTGATGTCATGTGATTTTGTAGCTCCATACCTCAATAAATATTTATTCTTCTGTGTCATGGTATATATTGATCGATAGAGAATTTTGTACTGTACATTGATGCTGTTCATTTGTTTTTCGAAATTTTATTTTTTTTCTTTTTTCCGTTTATTACTATATGATGTCGTTACGAATTAAAATCGAACCAAACCGCTGCTGGAACAGTCCGTGAAATTAACCAGGAATTTGGCAATGATAGTGTTTATAAATGCACTGTTCGATACTGGTTGGTACTTGAGACGGAAGAAGAACTGAGAGGAGAACGTGAGAATGGAGGACCTTTACTTCCACTAACTGCTGTTCAAAAACAAAGAATTGTGATTACCACGGAGAAATGAACCAACAAAGTCTTCTGCATTGGTTTGAATACCAACTATTAATAAATTTAGAAGAGCCTTCAGTTATAGTCATGGATAATGCAAGTAATCACAGCACTGTTATTAATAAAGCCCCAACAACAGCATCGAAGAAAGCTGATATCCAAGAATGGTTATCAAACAATAACATTCTCTTCGAAAATACTTTTCTCAAACCACAACTGGTGGAATTAGTTGTAAAGTGAATGAGATTGTTATTCATTATAAATTTACCTTGTAGGAATAAACCACCACCTATATATGAAGCTGATATGCTTCAAGTACTTCGTCTTCCACCGTATCACTGCATGTTTAATCCCATCGAACATATTTGGGAAATAACAAAAAAATTTTACAGGGATAATGTGGGAAGACATGGCACTTCAGCTGACAAATCCTGGGCTATACGAAAAGAAGCTATAGACAAAGCTACGCATGATGTATGAGCTGAAACTATTGGATATACCGAACAAAACATAAACTTATATTGGGACAGAGAAGTTGTGTTTGACAGGGAAGATGTTCAGCCTCTCATAATAAATTTCGATTCCGATAATGACGTATGACGATGATGATGACGAGTTGTATTCAAAAAATATATACAATTAAACGAATTTAAATAAAATATTTTCTTCTTCATTACTTATTATGAAGAAAAAAGGTGAAATGCCCCTATAATTGTATTTCAACTAAGTGAGTTGATAGTAAGTAAGGTTAATTAATAGCAATAAAACAAATCAACTACAAAAAAATTGGAAAGTTCGAAATGGTGCACATGTTGGCAACGCTGTAACTTGTCATCTTGTGACGTCATTCTCTTCTTAACGTGAACAGCCTATACTTCTTTGCTTTTCCGTAAAAAACGATGATCTCTTTTGGATCGGATCTTAGTGTGATGAAAGGTCCTATTGTGAGGAAATCGACGAAATGTACCAAAAATTGCGTCAGTAGCAGCCAGCACTGGTCAACAGAAGAAGTCCGATCCGTTTCACAAATCACCGTCCAAAAACTAAATAAATTGAACTTTAAATTTCTGCCTCGCCCACCGTACTCCCTAAACCTCTCGCCAACCGACTAGTATCTTCGATAACTTTATCACCACCGCGGTAGAACTTTCGCCAATCACGACCAGGCAAAAACGGCATTCCTCGACTTGATCGAATCCCGAGCACACAATTTTTATGCTGACGGAATTAATCGGTGCTTGTGTTACGTTGGCAAAAGTACAATGATTCAAATGGCGATCATTTTGATTAAATCGTGATATTGTGATATTACAATGAGTATTCATTGTGATATTACAATTCAGTGTGATAATACAATTCAAAGTAGACTCATAAAAACGGACAACTTTTGAAACAACATAATATTGGCACAACCAAAATTTGAATACTGCCAAAAGTTAGTGCATATTTGGTAGCCGTATTAGATGCACTTAGAGCGGGAACGTCAACAGCATACAGGAAAGATAAAAAAATATATTAAACTTTTTCAAGAATCCCTTTTTTGAAAAAATACAAAATGTAATTTGGAAAGTAACTGAGAAGTGAAAGTTATAGTTCATAAATGACATATCCACAATAGCCACAATCAAATCACTTTTAGCACAATTACTTTCTTTCCAATTGTTTGAAAAATGCATTGAATAAATCCATTTGGAAAAACGTTCTCAGGAGGTTTATTCCACATAAACGCCGTTCTCCAAATGAAAGAGTTCTTAAACAGTGAAGTTCGAGGTGTACTGAGTTGAACCTCAAAACGATGAGCAGCCACAGTCCGTCGCGTTTTTCTGATATGTATCGCTCTTGGTAGAATCAAATGTGCCGAGTCAATTGAACACCCCAACAAACTTATCGAAGCAGGAAGCGGAATTGTCTGACCTGATATTATTATATCCGGTTCGGAAACAATCATCTTTTTGGAGAACACCGATGCCTGGGTTTTTGTAGCATTGAATTGAACCTGGTTACTTTCACCCTAATTCGAAATTACTTCTAGTTCCTCATTAAGATATGCAACCTCCTTCTGCCGGTGAAGATGTGCATCCGCAGCCGATGTCCTGGAATCCAAATGTAATGACGAAACAAGTGTGCTTTCGTCAGCAGAGCAATATATTGGATTCTTGGTTTTATCCAATAAGTCGTTGATATACAATAAAAAGAGGGTTGGAGATAATATGGATCCCTGGGGAACAACAGCGTTGATGGTGAAAGTATTCGAGAGATATCCATCGACGGCCACTTGCAAGAAACGTTCTTTCAGGAAGCTGAAGAGTCATACACAAAAATGACCCGACAAGCCATAGCATCGACGTTTGGCCAGCAAACCCTAATGCTACACACGATCAAAGGCCTTGGAAATATCAAGCGCAACAGCTCTTGACTCTCCATGTTTCTCGATTGCGTTATTCCAAAGGTCGTCTGTTGATCTTTGTTTCCGAAAGCAATATTGATGATCGCTAAAGATGTTGAAGCCTTTCAAATATTTGAGGATATGGTGGTTTACAACTTTCTCCATGATTTTTGACATCACTGATAGCAAAGCGTCCAGTCTATAGTTGTTTGGAAGATTTTTCTTGCCCTTTTTGGGAATAGGCTGAACGCGAGCAATCTTCCAACAAGAAGGAAAAACCCCCTTCTTGTAAGACAGGTTGAAAAGCCTGCAAAATACTGGCGGGAGTTCATTTGCGCACTTTATAAGTACGATGACAGGCACTTCGTCAGGCAAATCCACATGAAAATTCTTCAGACAAGCCAATTTCAATAAAATATACCATATATATATCGTGAATCGCCATGGACCAAAATTAGCGCTCAGAGTCAATAGTTTCATAGTATGGCTTTTTATACTGGGGTAATTTAGTTTTTTATTGAAAATTATATATTATAAAAGTAAATCATCTCCCAAGTATCCCACAAAGTTTTCTGGTTTATATGTCAATTAACAACTGAGCAAGAGTAATTAAAAATGTGAGATCGCCCGTGGTTACATATTGACGTCACACCAGGCAAACGAGCTTCGAGCGGTGGCAACCGGGTCTGTAGTTGGAGATTATGAATCGCTGCTATCGTTAATTCAATTTAATTTTCTTCATAGTAATGTATAAATCAATTCTGTGTAACTGGCATTTTTGAGACAAAAGTTCTATAATAAATAAAGAGTACCGGGATTCCAAGACATAATTTCGGATTTTTCTCTAAGAAATAAAGAGATCTTCGCTCAATATTGTTTTTCGAATTCCGGTTTTCAACTAATATTCCAGACAAAGTAGAATCTGATGATGTATCAACAGAAGTCATGTCTGATGTACTCAAACTCTCACTGTCCTCGGAGGAACTTAGTAGTAATTTTTTCCAATACTTTCTGTATTTTCTAATTCTTTAGAACGATTTCTTTTTCGGTGGTATATAATATTTACGGTCTGTTTAGCTTTTGATCTTCGAAAAACCTGTTTATTAACTCGAATTCCAACATCAAAGGTCTTTTCGTGTGTACCTGCTTCATCACACATGATTTGATTTTCAGCGATATCTTCGTTACAAGTATTAAACAAAATTTATTTTTCCTTTTTTTGAACAAACGGTGGAGCTTTAGATGGGCAGTCGGTCTATCAATCTGGCAATCAAATATATGCGGAATTACGTCTGGCTTCAATATAATTTTTCCCACTTTCATAGTTTTGATATACATGTAATTTTCTAAGTCTGTTTCAACCTAACATTCAAAGTAGTACTCAGAGTAAACTATAATTTTTTTTATAAAAACAAAAATGCGTCCCCTTGGCAGATACAAAGTCGGCCCTCCGCATAGCGCGCTGCCATAACTTTCGTAACAGTAAAATAAAAATTTTGCCTGGTGCAGTTACTGAAGAATTCTTGCATTTTGGAACAACGCAATACATGTAACTTCATTTTTTATCACTATTCATATTCACGCAGTTGACACACTGCAGTAAACAACACGTAACTTGCTTTCTACGGCTCTAGCATACGTATTTCCCCCACTTCCTTGTCGCCAAGTCGACTGATGTGACGTCAAGCTTGACCACGCCCCGTTTTGGTGAACGCCACATTCAAAAATTGATTTGAGGGGGAAGATAAAGAGTGAAAATTCAGATTTTTTGCTGATGTACTATTTGAAACATAAACTTTCAAACTATGAAAAAAAAATTGTTAAATGAGCCCATTCACCTGTTAAAAGTTTTCATGTCATTATAAATAACATTTTCAGAGTTAATATTAACTGAAAAGGCAAAATTAGTTTCGATCTGGAGAGAAGGTTACTCCAAGCCGTAAAGACACGCCTAAACAAGCCATTGTATAGCAAAATACGTGTTGCGTTTTTGAAAAACACTGTTTAGTGAAAATGTCACAATTAAGTGAGAAACAATTTTAGTATGTTTTCAGTAACAGCCATATTGTATTTTAAATAAGAATATTATACATTCTACATACACAACACCAAATGAAATATTCGGTTTGAAAAAATGGAAAGGAAAAAACCGATCGAACTCACCGTTACTTCAGCATGGTCTCGTAAAAAACCTATAGCGTCATCTAGCCGCTGCGCTTCAGGAGCAGGCTGGTTCACCACACAAAAACAAAAAAAAATAATCATGCAAAAAATAAACAAAAAAAAATTCAAAAATGAACACTACATACAACTAAGGGTTCAAAAATTCTTGGTTCGTTGTTCACAGTCGAATTAAGCTGTTACTAATTTGTTTTATTTTTCTCATAATCTCCCAATTGTGTCGCTGATTAACAAAATTGAGAAATTAATAACCTACCTGATAGAAACTAAAAATGGTGTTTTCCATGGTTTATTTTCAGGACCGAACTGACAACAATTCATTAAAATATCGAGTAAACTCAAACGCATGCTATGATTTAGATCTTTCGGAGGACAGCAAAGACTGCTCTGATTGTATTGAAAACAAATACTATCTTAAAATTTGTAATGATAACCATACTACGTGAAATAGACAGAAATGACTATGACGATTCTGAAGTCATTATTTATATATTTTTTTCAATACTATGACATGAAAAGCATCTGATTTTGTTTTCTGAAAGTAGCTATTTGACTAATTATGATGATGTCCGAATCGAATTATCAATCTTTCGGAAATTTTGCTTTGTCATTTAGAAAAAATAAAAAGTTGAGACAAAAAGACCGTGATCATAATCTAATGAAAAACACTGATAACCCTTCTGAAACAATCATCCGTACATTATTTCAATCTTTCCAATTCAATTTTTGGTTGACATTTTTTTAATCTTGCGAAAATTATATAAAGAACTATGAAAACGTTGAGAAAGATTGAAAGTGGTAAATGAAACACAATTCTAACTTTTCCCTTAATTTTCGTTCAAGGATTGATCTATTGTTTTTCTTGACTGTCATTTTTGGAAGATGACTTTGATTTTCCCAAATTTCTTTTGTGAAAAATTGAAATACGTCTCTCTGGACACTACAATTATGTTTCTTCCACCCACAACCTTTCCAGATTATTACATGTTCAAAACTCACCATGTGTAATCCCTGAGGGGCGACAGTATTATTTACAGCTTGCGTGTAGTGGGGGGAATGAGGGGTGGTCAACCAACCGGCTGGAGCTATAGGAGGAGGTGAACTGACCGGCGTCGAAGGCGCCGAGCTATAGCTGCTCGCGCTTGCCTGTTCGGTTGCCGGGTAAATCTGAAAATAAAAAAAATTCAAATAGGAATTCTGGTAAATAAGATATTCAAAATCAGGTTATACCTTAAACTAAAATGCTGATTACATTCCAAGTTGAAATAATTAGTAGTGTGAATACTGAACAATCTTGAATTGAAGGGGTTATATTTTTAGGAGTGATTAATTTTTTTGGGAAAGAAAGTTTCTGGCTTTCTACTACTTTCTTTTAGTTTGTGTCTGAAAGTTACTTCTTTGCATGATCTACACATTCATGTATAGAGTTTCAAATTGATTACTTCCTTCCTTTCTTTGGAAGATTGTCTCATCCCTTTTTTTTGTATCAGATGGAGTAGTAGAAAGCCAAAAACTTTCTTTCCCAAAAAAATGAACAATCTAATTTCCGCACTTTCAATAGTAACGGGGAAATCTGTTGATACGTGCAAATTTTAATAAATCCAGACATGAGTTATTTATTTTGAATGACATGGTAAGAAGGATACCCATTTTCCTTTCAAACTGTAATCACGATTGGTGTCCTTTAAGGTTCCATTCTCAGCCCATTGCTTCTTGCAATTTATGCATTGGATATACGTGATCAGAAGTTACAGCTTGTCGCTAGTACGGTACTTTGGCTGGTACGGTACAAGCGTAAGAGAGACAGAGCAAAAATTCTCATGTTTCTTCCTAGATTTGACAAGCCGTTACAAGTCGTTCTACGCTGACGACACAAAAACTGCATTTTTCTCTAGACCGAAACAGTAAGTCGATAATACGATATACATCATCAAGCTTAAGATCAAGTAATCCAAAATAACACTTCGCAGAATCATACCTTTAAGACTTTCAAATTAAAAATTCTGAACTCTGAACTGGACTATGTCAGGTATACAAAAACCTCCTTCGAAATCTAACAGAATTATACCTAAATACCCGATAAGGAGGGATTTGTTTAGGAGTTTAGTGCAGTGCTGAACAATTTATAATTGGTGTTTTTGCTCAAATGCCAAAACGGTGCCTGGGAGTCGTCTTAGACAGGAAATTAACATTTCAGTCTTACGTACGGCAGAGAATCGGAATGGCTAGACACGCCAGACAACGCCTGGCACCTATCATAGGACGCAGAAGCAACATGGGGTTGAACGTAAAGTTGCTGATGATCAAGACCGTTCTCATGACCATAATACTGTATGCTTGCACTGCCTGGGGCCAGTGCGCACAGACATACAGGAAGAAGATACAGTCGTTTATGAACGCGAGCGTAAGGGCCGCCGTAAACGCACCGTACTACATCCCCACCAGATTTATATACAGAGACTTAGACCTGGACACGCAATATATGGACGTGTATATGAGAGAACACGCAGAAAGCGTGTTCGATAGAATCAGATCGCACTACAACCCAGCGCTACGCGATCTACACGATGCGTTGAATATGGATGACCCCAGATTCAGAGAAAGGGATAAACACCTGAGGCCAACAAAACAAAACCAACGACCACCCCCACGAGTCGCCGTTAGGCGACTCAGGTAAGCATAGTAATAAGGTAAATTATCTTTCAGTAGATTCACCGCAGAACAACTCGACCGCGATTCAATTATCCTTAGATTCACTGAGGAACGCTCGACGCTCATAACAATAGCCGCCGGTTAGTTTTTGGGGGCCCCCATGCAAACATTCAGTTAGGAATTGTCACGACAAAACACTTTAACCGATCGCGAAAGAATAGCAGCAAAGGCTGGTTTTCGACAAAAAGAGGTCAGATGTCAATCTTGCTGAAGTGCCCATCAGTAAGTTGAGGACCGCTCGGAGAGCGGGGGTGGATGGAGTGGGGTAGTAGGTTCATAAATTATCTTTCAGTAGGTTCACCGCAGAACAACTCGACCGCGATTCAATTATCCTTAGATTCACTGAGGAACACTCGACGCTCATAACAATAGCCGCCGTTAGTTTTTGCAAAAATTCAGTTAGGAATTGTCACGACAAAACACTTTAACCAATCGCGAAAGAATAGTATCAAAGGCTGGTTTTCGACCAAAAGAGGTCAGATGTCAATCTTGCTGAAGTGCCCATCAGTAAGTTGAGGACCGCTCGGAGAGCGGTGGTGGATAGAATGGAGTAGTAGGTTCTCCTCGCTAACTAGCTGGGGAAGGGGGAAGCTTCTACTTCAGGGCACCTAACCCGGGAGGAGACGTAGGGGGCCAAAATAATTGGCATCATCACCAATGAAGTTTTTGCTCATTAATATATGTACATAACAAATTTTTCAAAATCTTTTGGCGACACCGGTGATATTCAACCGTTACAGGTATTTTGAGGAACTAGATACAAATGACAACACATGTATTTAACTTCACCGATATTTTGAATAACTTCATCGATGATGACTACTTAACCACTTTTATCTCTAGAGAGCAACGATACCAAGCAAGGACATCTTTATGTTAGGTTTTTATTTTCTTCTTAACCATATTCTTCATATGAGTCGAATACAAAACACTATTGAGGTTCTTAAAATATTTTTTATCGATAAATGTCATATTATGATATGACTTTCATGCAAAAAAACAAACTACAAAAACTGTTTTGTCACAGACATGATTATCTCATAAGAAATACGATTCACCGATTCTGAGCTTAATTTTGAAATTCTTTGCGATTTCCAAATTTTTTGAGAGGCTGTACATTTTTCAAGACATTCGTTACTGCGGCGAATTTATCAGTCGTTAATATATTGTGAAAACAAGTATTACAATTTCTTATGGTAATAATCAATGTCTGTCTATTCGGTGATACTCAGGACAGATTTATATTAAAAACTGAAAGTTATACGGACAATTTGAAAAGTACATAATCTACCAGATAGGCACAATTTTTCTGGAAAAATATAATGCACTGTATACATGACCGAGCGGCAGTTACATAATATGAATGAAAATATAAGGGCATTTTTTTCTCTCGAAATGATCATCCATTTCAACGTCTGGGCGTACTCACAGACACAACCAACGTTGAATCGTTTGTCAGTTACGGAATGTGCCAAGTGACTTTCAAATACTTCAACTGTCAATTTCCAATATTCTCCACTCATACCAAATTTTTTGTAATGTCTCACGTTACTCCGCATTATCTTCAACTGGCAGAACCAAAATTTGGCAGGGCCAAAAGGATTCGTGTTTGGATAAACGGAGAAGTCCTCAATCCCTGTTTTGAAGTCACCATCAACCCTAATATTTTGAGGACGTGGAATGCAGTTTTGAACCACTTAACGAAGACGCTCGATCCTAGCTTTGGAGCCGTTAGAAGACTGGTATGTTTGAGCACAAGAAAAACAATCACGTGTTTCGAGGAACTGGACCCGGTTGAAAGATACGTAATTTTAGGAACGAACTGCAGATTGAAATCGACCAAGGGTTATAGAACTCTCTCCGAATTTGAATTAAACAAACCGAAGAAAAAACCTCAACATAGATTTTACTCGGGGGAAATAGATCCCCTGAAAGCAGAATTCTTGGTGGAAACTAGCAGAAGAGGATTGACGATAGTATTCGTTTTTGTAAATGGTCAAATATGCTATGGACCAGTCAAAGTTGTGCTCAACGAGAAAGATCTCATTAACTGGGATATAACTCTGCAATATTTATCTAAAATTTTGGACGTTCCCGACGGTATTGAGAAACTCTGCACGATTTTTGGAGATATTCTATTGTGCCCTGAAGAACTGCAACATGGGTATGCGTATGTGGCACTGCCATTCAACGAAAAATTCGTTAAAGTCGATTACATGAGCGCTTTTGGAAAATTGAACAACAAAACCAGTTTCACTTCGAAAATTAGACCGTCCACAAGCAACAAAAACAACTCGAAAAAATCATTAATTCCGAGACCTAAGAAACCGAAAAAATACAAAAAAAGTATTCCTGACACTGACGGAATTAAAGATACAGAGGAAGATGGCGAACTTATGGTGCAAAAAAAGCAAATCATTGTTGACGATAATGGAATGAAAGTTGCCGAAGAGAATGACAAGGTAACAGAAAAAAACTCAGATGATACAAGTGGTACAAAAGGTAGCATCATTATCGGATGGAAATTATCAGGTGACAAGACGCGAGAGACATCGAATATATCTGAGGATTCTACACGAACTAAAGATTCACTAGATGTCGAACAAGATGAAAAAAAAGAGATTGAAGCTCCAGTTACCACTGACACAATGATTGAGACTATACATGAAACACAAAACGCAGAAAATCAAACAGTATCTTTGTCAGAAAGCAGAACGTCGAAGGAAGAAGAAATATATGAAAAGACAAAAGATATGGGGTCAGTTTCACAAACAACGGACACACAGGATGAAAATAGAGAAAAAATTCGATCTGGGACTATTTCAATACAATCAAACGTCATGTCCAATGCCGTTAGTAAAACGGACGAAGAAGAAAAAAATGAATCAGTTGAAACAGTTATAAAACTAAGAGAAGAGAGATTAGAAAATGAATGTGAATCTCCCCGAGAAGTTGGCGCTAAATTAATTCAATTAGATAACGAAGAGAATATATCTATTTCAGAACCAGAAATTCTGCAAGTGAACGATAAAGTCGAGGCTCGAGAACCGGAAACAGATCGACAAATAGATATAGCCCAACCTGTGGAAAATACATCCCGAACTTCAAACCATGACACACTATTTGTCAATATTAAAGTAAGGGAACTGAAAATGAGAGAGGAAGCAATACCAAAGAAGTTAGAATATCAGTTGAAAGTTGATGTACCCAAAAGTGTGAACCAAAGTGAAGCTGATCAACTCGGGGGTTCAGAAACTACAGTTCCAACACAGCTAGATAATCAACACCAAAACGACCCAGCTGAGAGGTGGAACTTTGACAGAAAACCTAGATTCAGCGGAGCGAAACTAGAAAAAGATAGTACGAAAAACGAGTTTGAAGTAACTGATAGTGACACATTATCTGATGGTTTAAAAACGGAGGAATCGAGTCATAAGACAGATCTGAAAGCTTCAACATATTCGCATTCTCAATCAGTGCCCGTCGATGAAAAAAAGAGCATTGTCATCATCGAAGCGCCTTTTGCCAGAAAATACTCGCTGGAAACAACTAAAAGGGACTCTCTAGATAAAAACAGAAAGCGCATACACTCGACCATCAAAGATAAAAGCGATGAAACAGTGGCAAGTGATATAATGCGGTTTTCGAAAAAATATAGTACCGATGAATATGTAGGCAAGAAAGTATGTCGTCCCATAACTCCGCCGGTAAGGGAGGAAAACGGCATAAGCGCTGCACTATCAGAAATGAATGTGCAAAAACGCAGAACGTCTATACATATCAGAAACAGAACAGATATCAAAATTTGTGGATGTTCGAAGAGAGGAAAGTACCGAAGCTACCAATATTACAGAAATGGGAGCGAGAAAAGTTCTACTAGTATAAGTGAATCGGTATGTTCTACATCTGATAGCGATAAGCGAGAACATAATATTCAACGATGTTGTTTCTGTTACTGCAAAGGAAAACCGAGAAGATTTCGGAATAGTTCTCACTCCCCAAATGTTTCGACCAAGAGCAAGAGACACGTCTCAGAAGAAATTAGTGGACATAACGAAACTGTCGAAAGAAATGATCATACGGAAGACTACGAAGAAGAAACAGCAGAAAATACAAATCATCTCTTCAACTGCAACAATTTCAGCCAAGAAACCTCTCCAAATGACAGATCTCGACAATCATACGTCCTTACTATGGGTATTACGAAAAGAAAAGATACAAAAGATATCGAAGTTGATCCAGACAATCAGGAAATTCCATCAAGAGATAATAACGACTTGATCGATGAGGATCAAAATAATTTGAGAATTGGAAGTGAAGAAAACGCAGATAGTTTACTTTTATGCGCCGCTGTGGAGAAATACGTTTGTTTGGGAATGATAAATCAAGTTAAAAGTTGCCCGAATAGTTGCGCGAAAAATTTACCATAAAGTTTTACTGTGCTTGTCATCTAAGGATACATATTTTCATATGTAAAAAATTGCTAATATATTCTCGTTCAACAGTGTTTTAACTCAATCATTTGTTACAATATTGTTACAATATTGAAACAAATGATTTGTTGAAGAATATTCAACAATAATAAAACGTTCATTTGCTCAAATATTGAAACCAGGTACAAAAGGTTCACAACTACTCAACACTAACGTTGACGTCTTGTACTTACAAGAAGTATCTTACGTGCGAGAAAGTACATGATGTACAACTTGTTGAATGTAGGATGAGCTCTCCAAATTTCGATATGAACCCGCCCACTAGATGCAGGTTAGTAAGAAGACGGTGGGAGTGTGTGAGACATAATTCTAAAGTTTATTCATAGGTTTATTAAGCTGTATATAGATAAATACAAAGGAATATGCGAAACATTTGTAATATAGACCCATCAATAAAATTCTAAAAATGTTCTTTTCGAGTTTGGGACTTGATGGGTGATTTGTATGGCATACTTTAAGATAGTGTTTCATGTAGGTTTATGTTCAGTTATGCGGGGACTCAATACATCACCCGTTAAAAATAATCACCATTATTTTCTATAAAATAATGGAGATTAGGCATAAATCGTTCTTGCTAAAATATCATCCGGTTTTCATGGTATTGGGCAGTAACATATACTTCAAAACTACAGCAGCAATCTGGATATTCCATAATTAACTGATCATATTCAACCGATGGTTAACTAAGCCAAAGTTGAACTGATGAAAATACAACATTTCTTCATTACACACTTGTGTAATGAATAAAGTAGCAGTTAGTATTTTCAGGATTCAAATACTACATTGGTATAGCATTTGAGCACCTTTCAGGACGAATTTCATGTATGTTCGAGGGTCTATTCTATCGGACGACCAAGAAATACTGAAAGCTCTAAATCGTTACGAGTTTGAGCTGAGATAACAAAACCTTCCCAAAATAACTGACAGAAAAATCAAGCAACCTTGATTTGGATACCAGGTCACGAGGGACTCGAAGAAACAAGTAGCTGACTTATTGGAAAATGAACTCTGAACAACTTATAGAAATCCCTTTTTGGCAATTTTGGATTGTAGATTGTTAACACACCAATTATTTACTAGTGATGCACTGTTTGGAACCTTTGGTGTAGTAATGAATATTACCGGAGTTTTTTCCCAACACCAAACCGTTATTTTAACACCTCGACAGGTGTTTCAATCACCAAGTGATCATCTTCAAGAGGAAGTTCAATCTTCAATCTTGTAGGTATAAAAACAGAAATAAATTGAATACATTTGACACAACGAGGAGATTGTCTTGGACGTGTCTGGCTGCACGGTGAAACATAGGTCTGAGGTGGCTACTGCTGGAGACCGCCGGATCTCAAGAATCGGAGAAGTCTAGTTGGAGGAGTGTAAAACATAAACCTTGAGTTTCATTCAAGGTTGGAGATGTGAAACCCTGTTGAAACTCCCAAATAAACCGTATTCATTGTTTTATTGGTGTGCTTTGAAGTGTCTCCTATCCCAATGTAACTAAGTTGGTCTACAGTGAGAAGTGTTGAAAGAGGTACAGTATTTCTAAAAACTTCTGTAGATTGCGTCCGAATGAAAGCGTTCAATTTGGTAACGCTTTCCAGCACTTATAATTGAATTTCTATCAAAATCAAGAACCGACCTGCGCCCTTGCCTCCGCAAATCAAGAGAAAGTCATTCAAACTGGACACAGTTGGAATGACTAACAGTGAGAGTTGATGCTAATTCAGTTGTAACGCCGAATTTTCAGAACACTCAGCGAATGTCAAGTTCGGCACTTTGCGAATGTCAAGTTCGGGTCTGCACAAGGCTAAGTTTCTTGAAGGGATAACACCTAAACCTATACCCTGAGAGATCAAGGAATTGCTCTCCATGAAACTAACAAACTCAACCAAGGATTCCGAATGTACAAAAGATGTGTGAGTAATCATTTGATTTAGTTTGACAAATTTCTGATGCTGGACAACAAGAAGCACCTGTATGTATTTTTCAAATGAATTTTTGTACGAAACCTTTTTTATCAATATCATTGCTATTGCATCAAGATATTATAAAAGAAATATTCATTCATCTCTCTCAGTTCTAGTCATACATGATCCCGTACAATGTGCTTGGTAACTGCCATCAAAATAATTTTTCTCCCAATTATAAACCTGGCTTGAGCGTAAGTAAATTGTTGTGGAGACATCATGCTGCACTGATACGTATATCAAATTTCAACTCAGGAAACTGTTTCCGAGTGATACTGGAAAGTAGACTGAATTGCATTAAATTCCCCCGTTCAGTTCAGAGATACCCAATACATATTCTAGCTTTACTCACCCCTCCTAGTCCTTTATTTACATCATGGTTAGGAGTGGCGAAAGTTGCGGCGGTGTTAGGCCCGGCCAAGGTGGTGGCAGTCGGTGTCCCGTTAGGCCTCAGAGAAGACATGGGAGGTAGACCTTGGCCAGCTGTTTCGGATTCTGGAATGAGACCGTACGCCTCATAGGTTTGATATGAGGTGGGGTAGGAGGCAGGCCAATCGCCTCCACCTACCGCTGAATTAGGAGTGGCATCGCCGGCACCGAGGTAGTACCCTGCAGCCCCTCCTGGAGATGTGTACCGCGGTGAGTCCTGCGCGAATTCGTCCGAGCCATACTGAAACAAAAGAAAAAGTTATTACTTTCGTGTTAACACTCCGGGTTGATCAAATTGCAATAATTCCTCAATGACAATAATCAGTCAGATTACTGAATATTGGAATGATATTATAAGTAGTTTTCATGAATATTTTCTTTGGTGGAATATTCGTTCATTCTTCGTAATTGCCAACAGGTATGTACGGTTTCTCAAATGTAGGAAGAGCTTTCTGAATTTCCTTATGGTCCCGCCCACCAGATGTGTGTTCGTTAGAAGACTATGAAAGCGAGAGAGAGAGAGAGAGAGAGAGAGAGAGAGAGAAAGAGATAATTCTCAAGTTTCTTCCCAGATTTGACAAGCTGTACTTCAGTTCGCCCCATTTTCATAATATTTATTTTTTAAACGTTCCTAATAAATCCTTATTTGCAAATTTGGCACCATTAAGTTGTATACAAAGGTATATGACTTCAGTTTCTGCCCATACTGTTTGAAGATTATTAGAGGTTAGCACGTGATAATTTCTTGCTGTGAATTACATACGAAGAGAGGGCAGTTGAGTTCAGAAAGTGAATCGAGCGGTTAAACAAGGAATTCAAATAGTGGAAATAAATTAAGCGTTAGTTGCTAAGTGTTGTAAATGAATTAGTTTGTGATAGTGAAATATTGTTAGAAATACATTTGTTTAAGACAGTTAATTCGTTTAATTGTCACAGTATTTTCATTAAGACAATCTGGTCCAGAACTGCGTGATTTTATTTAACAGCTCCAATATGTACACTAACAGGCGTAATAAGTGCATTAGTACGTATTCCTGAAATTTTAGTTTCTTTTTCAAATTATCTATATAAGTAATTTATTCAAGAAGACAAAAATGAAGTGATTATGAGAATCCACGAAGTGAAAGAAAATGACAAGAGTTCCGAGTGAATGAAAAATGTTCATGAGAGTTGTTCTACAACAATAGGATGTATTGCCTAGCCTAGCCCTTCCGCAGGCTTCCACTCTTCTATCCATGCTGTCGATAAGTTTATTGATAACATGCTGAGGAACATTGCGTTTCGAAACTTTTCTAAGCTGCCAGATGGATAATTTCTGGTATGCAACCTCCTCGAAATGTAACTTCAAACATGCTCTATCGGATTTATGTCTGGTGAGTTCGGTGACAAATCCATCCTTGCAATTCCTTCTTCCTCCAGAGCGTTCTGCACAGCCAGTGTTCGATGTGGTGGGGCATTATCATCCATAAATACAAAGTCATTACCTATGTCGCCTCAGAATAGTCGAACCACATCCAAAATGACATTTTGAAGGTAAAATTGCCCCATCATTGCCCTAGGTACAATTACATAATGCTTCCATGTTAATTTGGATTGATATTAAATGCCAAATTCAGTCGATGCTGACGTCCTGTTGGTCTCCTAACACGAATGCGGTAGTCATGACTCATAATAAGCCCAAAACGGCTCTCATCGGAAAACATGGTATTTCGCCACTGATATTTGTTCCATTATGATTGGGTTCTTGCCCAGTTTAAACGTATTCGTCGGTGTGTGCCATTTATTCTCGGTGCCCACAAAACATAATAAACCACCACTACGAAGACGCCTGCGAATCGTGCGGATTGACAAATTGATGAATACGTTTTTGGAAATGTCTTACATAGCCTTCTGCTGTTTCAAAGGGGTCCTGTGTGCATATTGCAATAGGTATCGATCCTGACGTTGTGTTGTCCATCTTCTCCGACCGCTTTGGTGCATGAACATGACCACGTTCTCTGAACCTCTAGATTACCCTAGAAACCGTTCTATGGATAAACCTAGTTATCTCGTTATATGTCATCGAGTTCACCCTTGCTCTTGCAAAGTTACAATTCTCATACGATCTTCTTCAGATAAACGTGCAACAGGTATTACACACATGAAATGCCACTATATTATCAGACACGAATTGAAAGTTCACTAATTTTAAGTTCTTCATTTAAAAATTTTGATACAACCGAGGATATAGTTTTGCCGATTTTTTGTGATAACCGATCCTATGGGAGATATACTTCATTCCTTTTAAATCTGGTTCTTCATAAAATTTGGGTCTAATGCACTAATGCCGGTGAGTGTATTTATATATTATCATTATTAACATTTAAAACATAAGTAGGAACTCAAATTTTCCGTACTCGAAATACAAACCCACTACATATTTCAATCTGCTCTTGAAATGAAGGTAAAAGGAAATGAAAAATCGAACGAATCTAATACAAAATGAAGCTAACAAACACTATTTCAGAATAATTTCACTAGTAAGTGAAGTGCCAGTTCTAAAATTATATGTAAATTTCTTTGTTTACACTTCAGTTTGCAATATAAGTAAAAAAATCAAAAAGTGTCTTAAAACTTTGCTTGCTATTTTAAGTTGTTCATTGTTTTTAAAACTAATTCGAGTGATTATCTTCAAGAGGAAGATTAAACAGTTTATTCTTCCCCTTGAAGATGATCACCAGGAGATCGAAACACGTGTCGAGGTGTCAAAATAACGATTTGGTGTTGGGATAAAACTCCAATAATATTCATTACTACACTAAAGGTTTCAAACAGTGCATCACAAATGTTTCAATATCAATAATAAAAAGTACTGAAATCAAAACCAAACATTCATTTTTCGATAACAATTTAAAAATTTTCAATTCATACCTTATCAGCAAATAGTTTTCATCAGGTGCATCTTTTAAAAATTGTTGAATTTCTTCGGAAGTTAATGTTTTTGACTGTTTTGGAGCATATTTTTCAAATTTGGGTTTTAAAAATGCATGTAGTTTTACGTATTTTAATATATCAACACAGTTTTTAATAATTAAGCATCGAGTACTGAGACCATAATGTTGATGATTTCAATCTTCTTGACAGCTCTTCATAATAAACTAACAAGGTATTTTCGGAACAGGAATTTACCTTGGCTTTCATTTTCATGTGCTTGGTAGCAAATTATTGCAAACATCTATTGCTTTCTGAACAATTTCTGGAGGTGTATTTTCCAACTCTAAATCTTTGTATTCCATTATATTCAATATTTAATAAATCTGAACTGTTGATACTATAACAATCAACAATAAAACTATTCGTTGGGTAAGTTGACAGCAATAATTATGCAGTGCTTCGGTTTTGTTGTTATGGAAACGCCGCCAATGGGCTACTTGGATATTGCACGCAAATCGTCAGCGTAGCTTTGTTAACATGGAGAACGTGTCATATCAATCTGACATGTAACAAACAATTCATGACTGACTTGGGTTATCGTGATAACAGTGAGAAATTATTTCTCACTGCAATGGCGGATATTTCTCACTGCGTGAGAAATATTTCGTTTTGAACGTATGAAAGCGATGAGAGAAGTGGCACATTGTATATGGTTAACAAGCGTTTGTGTGTTTACGTTTGTTACACCAACAAGATTAAAAAGTGAAAGAAGTTTTGAATGTCTACCATCAAGATATTGCCAATGGATTTCGTTTCGAAACGTACGAATCTCCACAAAACCCATGAAGAAGAAAATCAGAAAATTCCCATTCAGTTTCTGAACCAAGAAACGCCGCTTTACGTACGCTACTTTTGAAATATTCCTGACTCATTACTTTCATATTCGAATGTGCGAAACACGATCGGCAATAACTTATTTCGCTAAATTTATCGCTCCTACGTGACATTCGTATGTGTTTTATGTGGAGCAGAATATAAAATCTTCATAAATTATTTAAAATCTCATATACGGGGATTTTGAAGATAATGCATTTTACATAAGCGGGGCCTTGTCGGTAACGGCTGAGCGCGGTAATTTTTCCGGTTTGCAAGAAATGTTTTCTTTCGCAAATCTCTGATTGCGGAGAAATGATATGGTCTGTGAACAATTTTGTAGAAACAGCACAAACATTTTGAAATTGCTAGGAATTGTTAATTCTAGGAGAAAACAATGTCCCATTTTTTGTCTGGACCTTGTCATCCAATTCTAAAAAAGTTCTCTCGCAACCTAAATAAAACAAACAAAATTCACATTTTATACTTTATTTTGGAAAAGAGAAATTGTGAGCTGTCACGAGACGCCCGGCAGTGAAACATCAATAATAATATTTTGTGACTCCTGTGATGAATATAACTGGAGTTTTTCCAACACCAAACCGTTATTTTAACACCTCGACACGTGTTTCGATCACATTGGTGATTCGTCTTTTAGTCGATTGATGGTGATTGGATTCGTGGTTCAGATACTGTCCAGTGTGAGTGGGTTTTCGGTATACAGAGGTATCAATACGTCTAAGAATGTTAAGAAAAAATTTGTTAAACTTGTTGAACATTCGTAAAAAATTGTAGAAACCATGTTTGGTGGATGACATTTCTACTTTTTGCATGTTCTACAAAAAAATGTGGAATAAATGTCGACAAACGTCGACTTTTAGATCCGGTGCAGACGGGCCTACATTTAACGTGCCGCAAATTTTGCGAACGATGTTGAAATATATTGGTCTCTTATGAACTAATGCAGATGAGACAATGCACGCCGCGTTTGTCGATTTCTTTTTTTAGGAATACCTAGCTAGGAAAATCTATAGAACACGACCATCAATAGAACACAAACCAAAAGATTTGTCCGAAACAGTTTTAAAAAGACACACTATCGTTTGAGCGCAGAAGTGCAAGTAGCTACGTCATAAATACCGGCAAAGAGTGCCATTTTCACAAGAACAAATTAATTTGTCAGCTGGAACGCGCAGAGTCGATAAAGGAGACATTAGTACGGCTTTCATTCCACCTCATCGGAAAATAAAGCCACCTCCCATATCAGTTCTTGTAATTGAATAATTGTTACGACCACCAAACTAGCGAACTCCCAAGCAGCATCCAAACAACGTGTGTCAAGAGAGAGATCTTGTGTGTTAAAATGGCATGATTCACCACACTCTTGAACGAAACATGACACCATTCGTCATAATGAGCGTGTAAGCATATACTCGGTATCGCTTTACCCTATTC